CCACGGCCCAGCCCGTGAATCTCCCACTTACGATCAACCCTCGGTCCCTGCAACGCTGAATTAGGGTTTGGCTACGGAGGTTCTGGAATCATCTTCACGGCTATAAGTAGCAGTAGGATCCAACCTTGAGGGGGGAACTAATCCTTAGCTAACTATTTTCTCAACTCTCCCTCGCTAACTTAAGCATCGGAGCCCGTGTGACTGAGGTCACACCGGTTTAGATCGGTTTGATTTTGCAGGTATTGGTTCCCTTATCATCGAGTTAGGTGTGTACGAGAAGAAGAGTCGGAGAGTCAAAATCCACGCATCAATAATTGGCATTGTCTGTGGGGACGATATAGTAAAGCAAGCTTCGTCAAAGCGAAATCCCGATCGGAGGCGAAATTCTGATCCAAAAGCGATATGAATCCTGATGAGAGCCATCAATGCTTCGAAAAGAATAGCCTGAAAGAAGCGGCCGATCACTCGGGTGAGGCAAGACCGAGCCCTGATCATCAACTTAATCCGACCACCCTTGACAGGGGAGAACCAGCATCAGACCTAAATAAAGCGACAGACCTCTCGGATGAGGCAAGGTCGAGCCCTGATCATCAACTTAATTTGACCACCCATGACAAGGTAGAATCTGCTGAGGAGGTAGAATCTATCCCTCTAACAACCAAAGATCAACGAGTCAACATTGGAACCAGGTTGGGGAATGAGGAAAGAGAAAGCCTTATCAACTTCCTCAGAAGCAACGCTGACGTGTTCACATGGTCACATGAGGAGATATCGGCAATTGATCGAGGAGTCATGGTACATCGACTCAACGTCGACGAGAACTGTAAACCAGTGAAACAGAAACGTAGAGCGTTCAACCAAGAAAGGAACGAAATTGTAGCTGAACAGGTGGAAGAGCTACTAAAAGCAAGCTTCATTCGGGAAGTGCATTATCCCTAGTGGATATCCAACGTAGTGTTGGTAAAGAAGGCAAACGGCAAATGGAGAATGTGCATCGACTTCACAGACCTAAATAAGGCCTGTCCAAAGGATTCTTTTCCTTTGCCTCGAATAGATCAACTAGTTAATGCCACTATAGGGCATGAAAGATTGAGTTTCATGAATGCCTACTCCAGATATAATCAAATCAAGATGTATGTACCGGATCAAGAGAAACCCTCTTTTGTCACGAGTCGAGGTTTGTATTGCTACACGGTGATGCCATTCGAATTGAAGAATGAAGGTGCAACCTACCAACGAATGGTGAATCAGATATTTGCAGCCTTAATCGGCAAAAATATGGAAGTTTACGTAGACAACATGCTGGTAAAGAGTCGAAAGAACGAGCGACACGAGGAGAATTTGACAGGAGCATTCGACGTTTTGTGAAAGTACAAGATGAAGCTGAATCCCACCAAGTGCACATTTGGAGTGACCTCAGGCAAGTTCCTGGGATTTTTAGTACACCAAAGGGGAATCAAAGCCAATCCAGATAAGATCAAAGTTGTTCTGGAGATGGATCCACCTAGAACTCTAAAGCAGCTACAGGGACTCAACGGAAGTATATCAACACTCAACAAATTCGTTAGTCGTTCAATTGACAAGTGCTTGCCATTATTCAAAAACCTGAGAAAGAAAGAGCAATTTGAATGGACAGAAGAGTGTGAGGCTGCCTTTAAGGAGCTGAAGCAGTACCTAGGGACAGCCCCACTCCTCTCAAAGCCGATCGTGGGTGATGAACTCTACTTATACTTAGTTGTATCCAACACTGCAGTGATCCGCGTTGATAAAGGAAGAAGATGGACGATAGTCTCCAATCTATTACACAAGCAAAGCAATGGTAGATGCAGAGCTTAGATACCTATAAATGGAGAAGCTGACATTAACACTGGTCACTTCGGCTCGGAAACTACGTCCGCATTTCCAAGCTCACAGAATAATTGTCCTCACCAACTTTCCCTTATGGCAGATTTTGCAAAGGCCAGACACTTCTAAACGACTGGTAAAGTGGGCTGTGAAGCTCAGCGAGTACGACATTCACTATAAGCCAAGAATTACCATGAAAGGGCAGGCTGTGGTAGACTTCATAGTAGAATTAACACCAACAGAACCTCAAGTATATAGTATCGACCCACAATTGGTTAAGAAAGAGCAACCCTGGACACTCTATGTCGATGGATACTCAAATTTCCGAGGATGCGGGGCAAGACTTCTACTAATCTCTCCAGATAAAGAGAGAATCGAATATACGCTGCGATTCAGCTTTCATGCATCCAACAATGAAGCCGAGTATGAAGCTCTACTAGCAGGACTAAAAGTGACCAGGTACGTTGGAGTCAGGAACATACTGATACTCAGTGATTCACAACTGATTGTAGGTCAGGTGAAAGAGGAGTTCAAAGCTAGAGAACCGCGAATGGCGAAATACCTTTCATAGGTAAAAAACCAGCTCGACCAGTTCTCAAAATATGAGATTCGACAAATTCCACGTGCTCAAAATGTCAACACCGATGCATTAGCTCGACTAGCCCCAGCTTATGAAACCGACATAGGAAGAACTGTAACGGTCGAGATTCTACCCGAGCCAAGCATAGAAGCTCAGAAAGCAATGGATATCGACGACCAAGGGCAACTACAAGAAAACTGAATGAGCCCTTTGATCAAATATTTGAGAGACGGGATCTTGCCTACTGAAAAGATAGAGGCCCAGCAGCTACAACGACGAGCAGCTAGATACGTGCTTAAAGACGACAATCTGTACAAAAGAGGCTACTCGTTGTCGCTTTTAAAATGTCTAACGCCCGACGAAGCTGACTAAGCCATGAGAGAAATACATGAGGGCGTTTGCGGGAGCCATTATGGAGCACGATCCCTAAGTCACAAAATAGTTCGACAAGGGTACTACTGGCCGACCATGCTAAACGATACGAAGCAATTCACCAAAAAATGCGACAAATGCCAACGGTTTGCAACAGTACCTAGGCAACCGCCAGAGCCTCTAACAAGCATAATGAGTCCTTGGCCCTTTGCTTAGTGGGGAATAGACCTTATAGGGCCCCTCCCACTAGGAAAGAGCCAGACCAAATTTGTAGTGGTGGCAATCAACTATTTTACTAAATGAGCCGAAGCCAAAGCCCTAGCTACAATTACTGAGAAAAGGTCATCGACTTTATCTGGAAGAACATAATTTATCGCTTTGGAATACCTTACACCATTATCAGTGATAATGGGAAACAGTTTCAACAATGCTGCCTTTCGAGAATTTTGCAGGAAGTTGGGCATTAAGCATATCTATTCCTCACCAGAACATCCGCCAGCTAATGGGCAGGTTTAAGCAGTCAACAAAATCATCAAAAGAACTCTGAAAACCAGATTATAAAATCTTAAAGGGTTATGGGGAAAAAAACTTCCCAATACATTATGGGCCTACAGAACAATACCTTGTACTTCGACGAGAGAAACGCCATTTTCACTGTCATTTGGCTCTGAAGCAGTGGTGCTAATGGAAATTAATCTTCCCTCTCCAAGGGTAGAGCAGTTCTGACAAAAAGGAGTCCATGCAGCTCAGCCTCGACCTATTAGAAGAACATTGAGAAACAGCACGACTACAAACGGCTGAACACAAAAATCGTATAGCTAGATACTACAACTTAAAGGTTAAGAAGCGTGACTTTTAAGGAAGGTGATTTAGTGTTAAGAAAGATTATGCCTAATACCAAAGATTCAACTAGCGGGGCGTTCAGGCCAACATGGGAAGACCCATACAAAGTCACTAAAGTGGTTCGAACAGGCACTTATGCTCTAGAAGACCAAGGGGGGAAGGCCTTACTACACCCATGACACGCTCAGCACCTCAAAAGATACTACCACTAGTTCGACATATTTCTAGACATTTTTATATTTTTCTATTATATGAATTTAATGAGACAACGTAAATTTAGAAGAATAAGAGTCAAAATTTAATTACTATTGAAAAATTGACAGCTCATTATTATTATTTCTTTTTAGTTATGCTTTTGCATTTTTCTTTCTCAATTGTCAAACATCTAATAACGGTTAATATACGTGTTCAATTTATTTTCTGTACTTTATTACCTAAATTTTTAGGACCGACAACATATTGTGTCAACAAGATTCAAACAACTTTAACTTTTCTAATAAAAAAAATATAAAAAATGGACTAAAGTAAAACTTTTTAAGTAATTTAACTGAGTGGAGAATGAGCTAAAACATGTATTCCACTGAATCAAATTAAAATTTAAAAAATGAAAAATGAACTAAAAAAACAAAAAGAAAGAAAATACTTTCTCGGACAAAGCGACAATTCAAAAAAAAAACTGAAAATCACTTTCCAATATTTCCGTTGGTTCAGCTTCGAGAGAGAGAGAGAAGAGAACTGAGAGAAGAGAACTGATCGTGTTCTTCGGAAAATTTCTGTTTGATTGGCTGGGAATTTTTTTTGCTGGTTCTGTTAATCAAATTTGCAACTCCATGATCTCCTCTTAGAGAAGCAAAAGACGCAATTTCAATTCATGTTTTCCTGCATTTCTTTATTCTATCGCTATAATTTGCGGGAAGCCGCCTTATTCTTCTTGCTCTTGCATTTGATCAAGCTTCAAATACTATACTACTCGTCTTGCATTTGCTGATTGCTCAATCTTTGTGGTTCGCTCCGCTGTTTGATTGAACCCCCAAATCCCTTTTAATCTTGGGGTTTCCTTCAGCTGCCATTATTTTTTATCCGCCCGTTTCTCAATTTGATTTCTAGTCTCAGGGGAATCGTTATCCCCATCCAATTTATTGGGTTTCCCGACGCTGATTTCTAACTAGAATCACTTGCATCAATTTTGTGTTTAATACTTGGCCTGGATTCCCGGAGTTTGGTGGACTGTATTTGGAAACAATGACGCTCACGCTTGAGTCGCTGCCTGGAAGCTCCGGGTACTTGGATATCTATCCTGAGAGGAAAATGTTTTATTTTAAGAATCCTTACGTGCTCGGATTAACTGTAGTTGCTGGGATTGGTGGATTGCTCTTCGGCTACGATACAGGTAATTAACGTTCTTCAATCGACGAACTGTTTTTGTTGTTTGAATTATGTCTATTATTTCTTATGTTCTTGTTTGTTTGTTTTCTGTCATATTTGGGTGTATGGTATATCGAAGTGATGGAACACACGTTGATTATGATACTCTTCTAGAAATATGTATTATTCATTCCGAAGGCCTGTTGTGGTTGTGTGCACTTCATCGTTTCCCTGTATTATGTAGACATTTACTCGAATATGGATTTTTCGAATGGCTTTTTACTTGGGTACAGTAAACGAAAAAGTTGTTTTGTTTTGTGGGCTGTTCTGTTTGGCTTTTAGATTAGTTATCGGAGATTCAACTGGATGGCTTCATATTGTTTTTTTGTTTTTAGTTTATTGAAACTGAAAGATGGCAAGCTTTCAATTCCTTTTTCTTTTGAAGTTAGAATTTCAGGTCACTGAGTTCCACAATAAACATAATCTGCTATGAGATGGAAGTACTTTTTTTTTTTTTTTTTTGTCTGTTTATTTGTGTTTCTACCTCTGGCTCCAATATTAACATGGTAGAAGTTTTGGTTATCAAGTATCTCCAAATAGAAGAGCTCATGAAAATTTTTTCCCCTTCAGTTTAATTGAATCTTCTTTTCTTTTAGATGCAATATATTAAGATATCTATAAATGATTAAATTTATCCTAACCTATTAGCTTAAGCTTTTGGGTTCATTTCATTGGTGATTTAACGTGGTATCAGAGGAGGAGATATTATGTTCGAACTCTTGTATTATCATTTTCTTCCCATTTAATATTGATTTTCATTTGTTAGGCCTTTTGCAAATTATCGAGCTCACAAGTGAAGGGAAGCGTTAAGATATCTATATATGATTAAATTTACCCTAACCCATTATCTTTAGCTTTTGAGTTCATTGGTGATTTAATAGAATATAATATAATGATCTGTCACATAGAACGTACAATGGTTTTGATTTGATCACTTCTTTTGCTAGGTAGGTAATGACATTTACGTTGTTGTCTACTTTCTCTGTTCCAAGTTCTGATGGATGAATGGTTTGTACAAATATTTTAAGTTCTTCATCGTGTTCAGCATGACCCTTTTTGTAAGGTTGGTCTTTTGACCAGTCTATTTTGATTTAGTTGCTAATCTGACCCTGTAATAGAACTCTGAAACCCAATGGCTATTTTCTGATGTAGAAGTGCACCACAAACAGAGGTCTAACGATTACACTTCAAACAGAAATGTACCTCATCCCCTTCCTGGCTGTTGTTTCTTTCAATTGGATACTTTTGTGAAAATAAGACACAACGAATTGTGTTCTAAATAAAGTTGGTGTTAGAATCCATATAAATGAATTAAATTTACCCAACCCATCAGCTTAAGCTTTTGGGTTGAGTGGTGGTTTGTTCATTCTTAAGATGGTATCAGAGCGGGAGGTTTTGTGTTTGAACCCCTGCATTATTGTTCCTCCCAATTTATTATAATTTCCACTTGTTGGATCTTGATGTTGTTTTTCAAGCCCACAAGTGAGGGGGAGTGTTAGAATCCATATAAATGAATTAAATTTACCCAACCCATCAGCTTAAGCTTTTGGGTTGAGTGGTGGTTTCTTCATCCTTAAGAGTTGGAAATTGGAAGTAAGCCTCATCTGCATCCAAAGTGCATCTTAGAATGGGATCCACAGCTTACCTACTATTCTCTATTTACTGGTTCTTTACTTATTAGCTGCTTTTGATTCTAATTCTGAACTAAGAATCAATGTTTATTGCAGGTGTGATATCAGGAGCTCTTCTTTACATTAAAGATGATTTTGAGGCTGTCAAAAATAGTAGTTTTCTACAGGTAAAAATCCTGAATTCTGGAACTTAACTTTTTTGCCCTTTCTTTTTCTTTTTCTGTTTTTTTTTTCCCCTTATCACTTCTACTTTCTCTCTCTCTAGATACCCTCGTCTTGGAGGGTGTTTTATTCATGGGGTAACCCATGTTTAAGAAAGCGGGCCTTTTATTAGTATCAGGATACATAAACTCATGTTATATGTAAACTAATGAAGTCTACGTTTTACACTATATACTAGCTTCTAGAAATCATTAACCGAAAAACTAAAGACTGGCTATACAAGTTCAAATTTCCACAACTTATTCCTTTGTACAATATAAACGCAGATTACACAAGTTCAAACTTCCTAACCCCATGTTTATTAAAATCGTAAGCCAAACATCCCCTTACATGTTTTAGTTCCTCCCCTCATGCATGGTTCTTTTTCTAGAGGAACCCTGATTTAAGAAAAATGGCAGGAAACAATTGTAAGTATGGCTTTGCTTGGTGCAATTTTTGGAGCTGCTGCTGGGGGTTGGATTAACGATGTTTATGGACGGAAGAAGGCAACTCTTCTTTCTGATGTTGTCTTTGCTCTTGGTGCTATTGTAATGGCTGTGGCTCCAGATCCATATATTCTTATAGTGGGAAGGTTCCTAGTCGGCCTTGGCGTGGGTGTGGCATCTGTTACAGCTCCAGTATACATTGCAGAAGCATCCCCATCTGAAATAAGAGGAGGACTAGTCAGCACTAATGTGCTAATGATAACTGGTGGACAGTTTCTCTCCTACCTCATAAATCTTGCATTTACCCAGGTTAGGCTTATGTCGTTTCCACCTCTTTTGTGTTTGTATGATATGATTAGCCTCATTCTCTACAAGAAGGAAAAATTTATGTACATGGTAAAAGACATGGCTTTATGAGTGTATCAAGTGAAACCTTTTTAATATTGATCATGAAACTAACTCTGACGATATATTTGTAGGTTTTTTCTTTTCCTTTTCTGGCATTTACACGTGTTTGATCGTGTGTACTAGTAGTGAATCAATTGTTTGCCTGTTTTCTGCTAATACTTCTGTATGGATCTTATCAATTGTTGGAACGACTAACAAAGTTATTCGGAAAACAAGAAGAGTTCCAAACAACTATGTCACTGTCAATTGTTGGGATTGCCCCTTGAATAAACTGAAATAGAGCATAGCAAATCAGAATTATTGTTATAGATAAGAGATTCATAATCAAGATTTGGAAACTCTTAGAAGTACCATGAAAATTTGCCAAAGTTTTGAGTTGGTCAATGAAGACTTTGGAAAAATGTAGTGTGTTTTTCTTTATATCCAAGGTTACGTACTGCCCTAAATTATTAGATTTGAGCGGGAGAACAAAAAGGCAAAGATATGATAGGTAAAAACCAAAGAAGGAAAAATACCAAACCATCTAAAACCTGTAAGGAGAAAAAAAAGGATCATACAAGAAAGGTATGAGCAGGCTGTTGAAGGACTAAGTAAAAGAAATATGGGCAGTGAATTTGACTAGGTCAAGTAAAGTTATGGGCTTGAGATGGATCATGGAAAAAAAGACAACTTGGATTAAAATTCAACACTTTACGTTGAGTGGTATGTCTTAAAAAGACTCAACTTGGCCTTCAGATTTTCATGAGTAGTTATTTTTTTTTTTAAACAATTCATAAGTAGTTCTGGAGAGTGGCTTTGCAAATATGTCTGCAATTGGAGATTGGTTGAGATGTAGATTGGTAAATAAATCTTCCTCATATCCTTTTATTGATATAATGATGATTAATCTCCACATGCTTGGTACGGCCGTGATGAAGAGGATCTTAGCTATACTTGTTGCTGGTCGATTGCCATAGTAAAGTTTCACTGGTTCATTTATATTGATTTTCTAGTTAGTTAGAATTCTTATAAGTTGTATTCCTTCCAGAAATGCTTGAGAAATAGTTCTAAATTTTGCTTCAGTGCTGCTTCTAGACACCAAGGATTGCATCTTGTTTCACCATGTTATCCAAATCATACTGATATTAAATATTGATCTAAGGAAACTAATACAAAACTTAGAGAAGAGTTTGAGAGACTTCTCCTTTTCCCGATTCCAATCTTCTGGAATAGTTACTCAATATCTGCCTAATGGTCAACCTATTACTGGAATACCTTGTCCTCAAGATGCAGGACATGTAATCACTGTCTGAGTTACACAAACTTCTAAAACATTGCCGGCTTCTGGGTGCTTGTCTTGTAAAAAAAATTGAAACTGATGCAGTGCAGTAAAGAAATATTCATCTCTTCCATCACAAAGTTCCTCTGGTATTCATGCTGCAACACCATAATTTTAGCTATTAAGGGCCTAAGGCCAGAGATAAAGTTGGTAGATTCCATCACCACTGACTGCACTTGTTGGAGTTGAACATTTCCTGCATAAACAATGTCTGATACCTGTCCCTTGCTGCTGTGGAATATGACTTGAGTTATTTACCCTAGGATTAAAATGGTCCAATGGTACTTGAAGTTTCCAATATTGAAGTTAGGCTAACATCCAAGAAACATAATTAAGTATGACATTGTTGCTAAAACTGCCCCGTGATGCATGGTTGTGCTACCTTTAGCAACCTTCTGGAAGGAAACCTCCAAAAGAGAACCGGATGCAGCTAATGTTCCCTTATGGAGACTTCGGATAGAAATATATGCAACTTTTTGCGAGCCTCCATCATATCAGGTTCAGTCACATAAGTACAAGGTATCAACAATAAGAAAATAAAAGATGTTGCGTATGTAAACCTATGAAAATGGGTCATAAACAAAAAGCCCATATTTATCTTGATGACTGTTTTTTTTCCCCCAATGATTACTGTTGGTATAGCACATTCCTAATATTTTTTTTTTTAAGAAATCGTATGTAGAACTTGAGGTGCTCCTATGTCTATTCTATGACATGAAACAGTCATTCAAAACTGACTTTGAAAATTCACACACACACACACACACACACACGTCTATAAAGCAGGTTCATTAAGTAGATATGCTTATCTAATTACCATTCTGTTTTGATGCTGAACGCAAAAAAGAACTTGATTTGGAGTATTTAGGGTTCAATTTGATATATTTAGCCATTTAGGAGTGTCTTCGTGACTTTTGGAGTCTTGAATTCAGATTCGTGTTATTTTTCCCTAAATTATTATAATTTAAAATCTTGCATCGGGTAAAATTTCAGTAGGGAGTGGAGTTTTACATATAAAAAATTACATTACCTTATTCAAACATGAGAACTTTAGATTTTAGAAATACCTGCTACATATTCCATTTGCACATTCTTACTAAGACATGAGATTCCTAAATCTTTACAAATATCATGAAAACCTTCAATATTTGCTTTATTTCATGAATAAAAAGCTGAGTAACAATTATTTATTTGTTGCCCCAACGAGAGAAAAAAAAATGGCTTCGACAAGAGGTGTGCATGTTAGGATAAGTGTAGGCAGGGTTATCTTTTACTAGTATGGTCACACTCTATTGTATAATTATTATTATTTATTTGGATTAAGAAAAAACACAAAAAGCTGATTCAAAACTCTCGAGTGCACCAAAACACTTTCAGAAACTAGAACGGTTATGAAATACATGTACATAAATACCATAATTAATCTCCAAAAAAGAAAAAAAAAACATAATTGGCCTAACCTCGTGTCATTTGGCACTATGCGATGCATAGGCTGTTGTTATTGAGAGAGAATTTTTTAGGGTGATTTAGTTAGTAGTGCATTGGCAAACCATTTGTGCTATTGATGCTCATTACACTATAATTTATTGGAATGAAAGGTTTTCATCTTGCAGTTTGAAGAGGCGGCATCGAGATAGAATTTCGGGATGCTAATTTAAGATTTCACCTGAGTAACATGTGAAGGAAACTGTTCCATTCTTTCTTGCCTAACTTAAGCTGCTTCATTCTTTCGCTGAGTTGTAAATTGTAATTGTCCGTCACCCGTCTTCTTCGGTTCTCTTTTCTGAAAAAGAAAATTCTTAGTCGGAGTATTAATTTTACTTTTGTCAATTGGGGGCATAAAATTTTTGGTTTTCATTCAAAATATTTTCTTCCTTTCCTTTCCTTTAATTTATCAATCTGGGACGATAATGATGACTGGGAAAAATCATAACTTGAAGCTTTAGTTCATCCTGTGAAGGAATTAATTTCCTAGATTTTTTTATGCTCTTTAGGAGACAATAACCATTCTCTGTTGAAACTAATAAATATATGTAATGTTTTATTCTGAAGCACCTTGGATATCATGATGAGATCTTTTAACCTTGAAATGGCTCACTTCCGCAGAACTTCTTGTACTTGTGAAAAACAGAAATCTTCCCATGAAATTGTCTTGTAGGGGGTAGAAACTCAAGTAAACAAAATTTATCAATTTGGTTGACAATGCTAACCTAATGATGAATAAAGATCATAATAAATCTTACCATGGGTTCTGATTTTTAGATCAGTGAAGAGCATTATCTTGTATACTTACTTCACATCGACCAATTATGAAACTAATAGAGTTTTTTATGTACTTTTACCATCTGAGTAAAATGCTCCCCAGTTCTGATATGGAAAACTTCTTTTCTGCACAATTAATCTAGCGCACACTTTCTCTTTCTGAATTTGAAATGTCTTATTGACTCTTTGAATTGGCGACACGTCTTTAGGTCCCTGGAACTTGGCGTTGGATGCTAGGAGTTTCAGGCATTCCAGCTGTGATTCAGTTTGTTTTAATGCTTTGTCTGCCAGAGTCTCCAAGATGGCTTTTTATGAAGGTACATAAAATTATTATCTTTAATTTGCATTCGTTATTTTCTTTCACGTATTTAGTATAACATTATATTTCATGATGTGCAGGATGAAAAATCCAAAGCCATATCCGTGCTCTCTAAAATTTATGATTTTCCTCGTTTAGAAGATGAGATTGATTACCTTTCTTCTCAATTAGAGGAAGAACGGCACAAAATGAAAAATGTAAGCTTCTTGGATGTTTTTAAATCAAAAGAGATCAGACTTGCGTTTCTGGCAGGGGCTGGACTTCAGGTACAATTCCCGACTAATATATGAGTTCATATTTATTGGATTTAATGCATTTCAAAGACTAAAAGTATGTTCGGAATGCTCGCGAGAATCGTGTTCTCAAATGGACCCATAAACACTTTCGAAAAAATACTAATGAAGTACTTCTTTAAAAAATACTTCACTATAAACCTATAAACAAATTTCCTCATATCTGTTGAAATTTGAAGCCATTCATTTCTCAGTGGTGTTACTATTTCTCTCACTTTGTTTCTTCATGCATTGTGGTATTTAGTTCTGGGATATTTTCTGTTTTAACTTTTAAGAGCTTGATTACAATGAGATTCTGAGATTTACCTGTGCAAGGATAACATCACTAATCGTGGGCAAATCGATCGAATAAATAATTCGAGGAAGTAAATACTCCGCTTTTATGCAGGCGTTTCAGCAGTTCACTGGTATCAACACAGTCATGTACTACAGCCCAACTATCGTCCAGATGGCTGGCTTTAGTTCCAACCAGTTAGCCCTCCTTCTATCCCTCATTGTCGCTGCCATGAACGCTGCTGGAACGGTTCTTGGAATCTACCTTATAGACCACGTCGGGAGGAAGAAACTGGCCATTTCGAGCTTATCTGGTGTCATTGTATCACTTGCCATTCTTTCTGGGGCATTCTTTGCTGGCCAATCTGGTTCAACAAATGTCCTACATGGATGGCTTGCAGTAGCTGGATTAGCTCTGTATATTGCTTTCTTCGCCCCCGGGATGGGACCGGTGCCATGGACTGTGAACTCGGAGATATATCCCGAGGCATACCGTGGAGTTTGTGGTGGCATGTCAGCAACAGTCAATTGGGTTTCAAATCTGATTGTGGCTCAAACTTTTCTTTCGCTTGCTGAAGTAGCTGGAACCGGTCCAACTTTCCTCATCCTTGCAGGCATAGCCATGCTCGCAGTTGTGTTCGTCGTCGTGTACGTTCCCGAGACGCAGGGATTGACATTTGAGGAGGTGGAGATGATTTGGAAGGAGAGGGCTTGGGGCAGTGATTCAAATACAGAAAGCCTTCTTGCCTGAGCAGCAAGGAAATGAGGTAAATGGGGGAGTGTGTGATCTCAGTGTAGGCTTATATATATGGGGTAGCATTTTTGGGATAATGTTTTACACGAGATTGTATTTTCCTTTTATAATATGCTTTCAATTCATATATGTAGATACGTATAAAATAATGAAAACGATATTGATCCTACCTTAATGCTCAACGTGTCAATTTGAATATAGTTCAACTGGTTAAGACACATATCTCCAATTTAAATTTCGTGAGTTCAAATCTTCACCCAAATGCTAATGTTCTAAAAAATCAACACAAACTTAATGGTCAAGACATTACTGTAGAAAATCAAGCTGAAATTTAGGAGAAATTACTTTAAATTTATTTCCTTGTATACTATGTGATTTAGGCATTCCTTGTAGATCTAGATTGATACCTAATTTCTAGTTTTTGATTGAAGGTAAACTTGTATATATTTTTCATTCTATAGTCTTGAGAAATAAGAAGAAAAACTTTCTCATATATCTTCATGGTATCAGAGCTTGAGAAATAAAGTTTTTTTTTTCAAAACCCTAGCCATCAGGAAATAAACCCTAGTTTTACCAACCCTAGCCATCAGGAAATATTCACGGCAGAAACCCTAGCCGTCATCAGATCCACCTCCGGCGAACTCTTCACGGCAGCTTCGTCGCCGTCGATCCTCTCCATCGCGACGTCCTTCACGACCTCTCCATCGCCGGTGGCCTTCATCGCGAAC